AAGCACCTTCCCCACCAGCAGTGGGTTTGAACTCAGCCTAGTGTTGAAGGTGAGCGCTCTTACTGCTTGAGCCGTGCCACTTACCCACTTTGCTTTTACTTTCCAGATAGGGTCTCCGGCTTCTGCTTGTGCTGGCCTTCGTCTGTGTTCCTCCTGTGTCTGCCTCCCCTGCAGCTGGCCTGGCCCACGTCTGCTAGGCTTGTTCTGTGAGGCAGGATCTCCTTCTTGCGCTGGGGCTGTAAACATGAGCTCCCCGCAGGGCCTAAAGAGGGGTAGCGTTTTGATTTCTGTTCTGGCTCCGCTTCCTTCCGCTTTATTAACCTGCAGCCCCCCCTCCTCCCTGCTCCCCACTCCTGAGAAGACAGACTGCAAGGCTTCCCTCCCTCCCTCCCTCCTCCCTCCCTCCCTCCCTCCCTCCCTCCCTCCTCCTTCCCTCCCCCCTCCCTCCCCCATCCCTCCCTCCCTCCCTCCCCCATCCCTCCCTCCCTCCCTCCCCCTCCCTCCCCCGTCCCTCCCCCCTCCCTCCCTCCCCCTCCCTCCCCCCTCCCTCCCTCCCCCGTCCCTCCCCCCCTCCCTCCCTCCCCCGTCCCTCCCCCCTCCCTCCGTGGCTGGGCTGGACTGTCCTCCTCTGGCCACCGCCGCATGGAGCAGCGCTGTCCCCCGTCGATCTCCGCCTCAGGAGCCTCCTCCTTGTCCTCCACTAGTTCTTCCCGCGAACGGCGACATTTGCCTGATTCGAACGAGTTCTCCCTCGTTCCGTTTCCGCCGGCCACGCTCCCTCCGTTAGGGCAGGCCCGGAGCCCGCGGCGTCTGTGTCGTCGGGAGCCGATCTGTGCAGGAACCTCAGACATGTCCCCGGCTTCTAGAAGTCGTGATGTCCCGGCGGCAGATTCGGGCAGTTCGTCCCGTGTCTGCTGCTCGCAGCGTCGCTCTGGCGGCCGTGGCTCGGTCCGTCTGTGATCCGCGCTGTCCTGTGTTCCTCAGGTGTCCTCCGGCCTGAGCGCCGGCGCCTGTGTGCGCGTGCGCGTTCCTGGACACCCCCCCCCCCCCCCCCCGTTCTCCGGTCGGGGCATTTCCAGCACTCTGGGTGTCTAGGACGTGCTCACACCTGCTCGGTGGACCCGGTGGACCTGCCTGGACCCGTGCCGCCGCCCTCCCCGCTCCTCACGCCTGCGCATCAGGTGCGAAATGGGGCGTTGTCGGTGCTTGTGGCCTGTGTGCGCGCCGGGGGCGCTGGCGTTCCAAAGCAAGGGACGACGGCTTGGCGGCGCGGTCAGACGCCACCATGTCCTGCTCGGGAGCCCCGGGAGCCGGCGCGGCGGGATGGCGGCCACCCCCGGCCGCGTCCCCGAGTGTGGCCGAGCCCGCCCGGCCTCAGCCAGGGGGACGGGATGTACCTGCAGCGAGTCTGGAAAGCCGCGCCCCGCGGTCCGGCCCGCACCTTGGCCCCCGCGTCCTGAGCAGCCGCTCTGGCCTGCTGGGGGGCGCGAGCGTTTCCTGTCCCTGTGGGGTCCCCGGGTCCTTCCAGCCTCGGCCCCCTCCCCCCCCGTCCTTCTGTGTCCCCCGGCACGGAGCAGCCGCGACCCCTCAGCCTCGGGCCTTGCGGGCTCGTGGAGCACGCACATAGGACACAAGTGGATTCCGTGGGCCAGTTGCGGGGTTGGCAGTGCCGCATGCGGAAATAAAAGGGGCGCACGTGCTTGACTCAGAGAACTCCGTCTTCCATCTTGGCAAACTGAAGACAGCCCAGGTCACTCACCATCCCGAGTACTGCACATGCGTGTGTGAGGCGTGTGAGGCGTGTGTGAGGCGTGTGAGGCGTGTGTGGGACGTGTGTGGGACGTGTGTGGGACTTGGGAGAGCCCCTGTTGCACACTGCGCCCTGAGTAAAACGTCCTCAGTTGGTCGTGGGGCTTGAACTCTGGGCCTGGGCGCTGTCCCTCAGCTCCTCAGCTCATAGTGAGCGCTCTACCTCTTGAGCCACAGCGCCACTTTTGGTTTTCTGGTGGTTCTTGGGAGATAAGAGTCTCATGGGTTTTCCTGTCCAGGCTGGCTTTGAACCATGATCCTCAGATCTCAGCCTCCCAAGTAGCTAGGATGATGGGCATGAGCCACCGGCTCCTGGCTTAAAAACCACCCCATTCCCCCCCCCCCCCCCTTTTAAAAGTAGTATCTCATGACGCTTATATGAGTGAATTTAGATGTCAGTTTGGTGCGTGAAGTTCTGTAGTTTTGCACTGCACTAGCAGCGGCGCATCTGTGACGGAGATTGTGGCCACAGAACCCAAAGTACTTGCTCATCTAAACCTGCACAGCGTCTGTCCGCGTGCTCACCTCTGTAGGTGAAGTCCTGTCTTCACTGGACCAGTCTCTTGTGGTGAAGGCATTGAGGAAACCTTCTAAGATGTTTTTAATTGTTGTGACACGGCCCTGAGGGAGCCCGGGTATTTGAGGTGTTGTGAAGTGGGGTGCACTGCTTTGGGCGAGGGTCGCCCACAATGCACGGAGAAGAGACAGAGGGTCGTGTCAGAATATGAACCAGAGCGGTGCTTGTGCAGGTCACTCACTGTTGAGAGAAGTGGCGATCTCTCTCGGCGGGCTCAGTGCTCTGTATCTGCTGTGGATTCTCTTCCCAGGGCATCTGGATGCAAGGCTGAGCATTGCTTGTGTGAGGAACCTTGGCATTCTTCCTGCCTGCCTAATGGTGTGTGCACGTGGCTAGGGTGCTGGGTGCTGCCGCAGGGGCCGGAGGGAGAGCGGGGCTCCCATCCCCCAGCTCGTGGGTTTGAGCTCGTGGGTTTGAGCTCGTGGGTTTGAGCTCGTGGGCTTGCTCTGTCCCGCAGGGTCTGTGACAGGAGAGGTTCCGTGGGTGACCGGGCCGTGGTTTAGTTTTGGTGGCTGGGTGCTCGGATAATTTCCCCCTTTTTCTTGTTTTTCGTGGGGCTTGAACTCTGGGCCTGGGCGCTGCCCCTGGCGCTTCAGCTCAAGGCTGGGCGCTCTCCCACTTGAGCCACGGCGCCACTCCCAGCTTTTCTACGTCTGGGGTGTTGAATGGAACTCGGGCCTCACGCGGGCGAGGCGAGCGCCCCCCAGCCCCCCAGCCCCCCAGTGTGTTGTTGTTTTTGCAGGCTTTTCCTCGCCAGCACTGAACCTGCGGCATCATTTGGGTTTTTAGACTCGATCGTGGAGAAGGGGGAGGGGCGGCTCGCGCGGGCCGCTCGTGTCTTGCGTCCCATGTGCTTTGGGGGCGTCGTTGCTTGGCACAGGGCAGTTCTGAGCTCGGAAGCGCCCGCGTTTTGGAAGAATTGGTCGTGGGGGTGAAGCGGGGCTTTGGAGCTCTGTGCGTGGACACGCGGGGTGCTGAGGGGCGGGTGGTCCCCGTGTGAAGTTGCGTGAGTGCTGCACGCCAAGGCCCTTGGCATGTCATGCTCCAGCGCTACCGCCGCCGCCGCGGCGCGTTTGTCCCGAGCGCTTCCGGCGCTCTTGGGCCGGTCCGAGGTCTTGGGCTGGGCTCCCGCGCTCACCCCGAGCCGCGCCTCGGCTGCCCGGGCTGGCCTTGAGCCGTGATCCTCCTGATAGCTGAGACGCAAGGCGTGAGGCACAGGCGCAGCCGGGATGAGCGGAGGCCTGGCTCCTCCGCAGAGGGGCGCCGAGGCGAGCGCTCCACCACTGCGCGCCACGGCCCCGCGTGCAGCCGAGCCCGGCCGGGCCGCCTGGGGACGCGTGAGCCGGCGGCAGAGGCGCCCGCGCGGCCTTCTCTCCCCGGCAGGACACGCGTGGTGTAAGCGCGCCTTTCTGTGGGCCGGGGTGGGAGTGCTCCCGGACGCTGTCACCCGCCTGACCCCGCGCGGCCCCCCACGGGGCGCTGGACGGGCCGGGCTGGGGCCGGGCGCGGGTGCACGGCGGGCGGGGCGGGGCCCGCGAGGCCCGCATCCTGTTGACAAGAGCGACTGTCACCGGGATGTCCCCGCGTGAGACTCACCTGCGTGCACCCTGGGGTCCCCGTGTGTGCACCGCGGGCCGTGCGACCGCGGCGTGGAGCCCTGACGTCACCACGCTATTAGTATTCTTGCGCAGGGTGACCCAGTGAGCAGTGCGGAAGCCACGGGGGCGGGGCCAGCGGGATGGTAGAGGGGCGGGGCCGTGGGCGGGGCCAACGGGATGACGGAGGGACGGGGTCGTGGGCGGGGCCAGCGGGATGGTGGAGGGGCGGGGCCGTGGGCGGGGCCTGTGTTCCACGCCGACACCTGAGCAGCCAGACCGGCCTGCGCCTCGAGGCGCTCACTAGCGCTGCTCCAGCGCCTCGCCTTCCTGCCCGGGAGGTGCGGGCCGCCTGCCAGTTAGCCTCCACTTGCGAGATTTCCTCTTGTGGAGCGGTGCACGGGACCCGGGTCTGCTTCGCTCCGGGACTACACCCGGCTTTGCGGGGAGAAGGGCGGCTCGGCTCGCCTAGCTGGCAACCGAGGTCGGCCGCGGGCCGCCGTCCTGTGCGGGCGGGGCCCGGGGGCGGGCGGGGCCCGGGGGCGGGCGGCGTGTGCACGCGTGGGGCCCCTCCCTCCCCGGCGCTTCCGATGCGCGCAGCCCGCAGCAGCCGGGTCCGCCCGTCTGGAGCGCGGTGCGCGGCGGCACACGCTCCGTGCCCGCGCCGTCCCGTCCCCCCCGCGAGTGGCGCCTCGTGGCGGGGGTCGCCCGTGTTCCCGGCGGTGCCGGGCCGCTCGGGCGTGGGGCGATCGCGGTCCTCAGAAGGAAGGCGGCGCGCCCGGGGCGGCGCGGTGTCCCGGCTTGTGTCCGTTGTGGGTGTGCGGCCCTGGCCATCCTGGCGTAGCCGGCGGGGGCTGCGCGGCACCGGGCGGCTTGCTGACCGCGGGCGGTCCGCGCACGCGCGCGGCGGAGGCGGGCGTGGGTTTGGGTCGGGCGCCCGCAGCTCGTGGCTGGAGCGGGACTGGGGTCCCACGCTCGGCACGCTAATGAGTTCCACCGTTTTCTCCCCCTCCTCCTAGGGCATCTGAAGTTGATTCTCCACCTGCGTTGAAAACCCCGCGTGGACAATGGCTACGCAAGGTTTGTGTCACGAAGGATTAGTGGGGGGCTGCCCCCCTCCACACCCACCCCCCTGCCGCGCCCGCCCGCTGCGCCCCGGGGCCCGTGATCTCCGACGCCCCGTCCGCGATCACGCGTGGGCGCCCACGCGCGCGTGCTTTAATTTCCACAGCAGACCTGATGGAGCTGGACATGGCGATGGAGCCCGACCGCAAGGCGGCGGTGAGCCACTGGCAGCAGCAGTCGTACCTGGACTCAGGCATCCACTCGGGCGCCACCACCACCGCGCCGTCCCTGAGCGGGAAGGGCAACCCCGACGACGAGGACGTGGACACGGCGCAGGTGCTGTACGAGTGGGAGCAGGGCTTCTCGCAGCCCTTCACACAGGAGCAGGTGGCCGGTGAGCGCGGGCAGCCCTGGACACATCGCGTGGGGGGGGGAATGGACGGAGGGCGGAGCGGGGGCGCGGCATGGCGCGGGGTGACGAGGGCGGGCGTCGCCCGTGCTCCCCCAGACATCGACGGGCAGTACGCCATGACGCGCGCGCAGCGGGTCCGCGCCGCCATGTTCCCCGAGACGCTGGACGAGGGCATGCAGATCCCGTCCACGCAGTTCGACGCCGCGCACCCCACCAACGTGCAGCGGCTGGCCGAGCCGTCGCAGATGCTGAAGCACGCGGTGGTGAACCTCATCAACTACCAGGACGACGCGGAGCTGGCCACGCGCGCCATCCCCGAGCTCACCAAGCTGCTCAACGACGAGGACCAGGTCTGCCCCGCGTCCTGGGGAGGGGGCGGCGGGACCACGGAATCGGCAGCCGCCAGGGGCGCCTTGCATGCGGAGGCTGACGTGGCGTGCGCCCCCCGCAGGTGGTCGTGAACAAGGCGGCCGTGATGGTCCACCAGCTGTCCAAGAAGGAAGCTTCCAGACACGCCATCATGCGCTCCCCGCAGATGGTGTCCGCCATCGTGCGCACCATGCAGAACACCAACGACGTGGAGACGGCGCGCTGCACGGCGGGGACGCTGCACAACCTGTCGCACCACCGCGAGGGCCTGCTGGCCATCTTCAAGTCGGGCGGCATCCCCGCGCTCGTCAAGATGCTCGGGTGAGGCCCGGCCCGAGCCGCCCGGCCCACGGCGCATGCGCGCGCCCCGCGGGCTCACCCCCCCCCCCCCCCCCGCCCCCCCTCCCCAGGTCGCCCGTGGACTCCGTGCTGTTCTACGCCATCACTACGCTGCACAACCTCCTGCTGCACCAGGAGGGCGCCAAGATGGCCGTGCGCCTGGCCGGCGGCCTGCAGAAGATGGTCGCCCTGCTCAACAAGACCAACGTCAAGTTCCTGGCCATCACCACCGACTGCCTGCAGATCCTCGCCTACGGCAACCAGGAGAGCAAGGTGTGCGTGCGCCCCAGGGGGGCGGGCCCGGCCGGCTGGAGGGTGTGCAGGAGGGAGGGGCCCGCCGGCCCGGGGTGCTGAGCCCGCGCGTCCCCGCAGCTCATCATCCTGGCGAGCGGCGGGCCGCAGGCGCTGGTGAACATCATGCGCACCTACACCTACGAGAAGCTGCTGTGGACCACCAGCAGGGTGCTCAAGGTGCTGTCCGTGTGCTCCAGCAACAAGCCCGCCATCGTGGAGGCCGGTGAGCGCGGGGCGCGCGTCGGAGCACCCCCCCCCACCCGCTGAGACCGGCCCCCGCATTGAGGGGACCCCGCCTCACGGGACCGGCCCCACCCATGGCCCACGGCCCCGCGCCCTGGGGAGCGCCGAGCAGCCCCCGCTCAGAGGACGTCGCCGTGACCCCGGCCCCGGCTGTCCGGCTGTGGCCACTGGGCCGCTCCGGGCCTCGCCCCAGGGGCCTCGCCCCGGAGCCTCCGCGGTCCTGCCGGCTGGGGCGCCGGGTCGCAGGCACGCCGCACGGGGCAGCCCACGGTGACGCGAGCCGCGGCCCTCGGGAGCGCATGCGCGCCGTCCCAAGCCTCCGCTGGGGTGTGGGGTGTGTTGGAGCAGGGCGCAGGCGCGTGCGGGGTGCGGCGGGCCCCCGAGCACTGACGTCAGACGCCAGCTACCCGACCCGCGTTCCCCACGAGGGGGCGCCCGCGCCGCCGCCGCCGTAGCACTGCGACAGAGCCGGAGACCCGCGGCTGGAGGCTCCAGGCCAACCCGAGCCGCAGGAGCCTCCGCTGCGGCAGGCCGAGGCGCGGCTCCCTCCGGCCGGAAGCCCCTCCCGGAGCGGGTTTGAGACAGTCTCCCGCCCGGCTGGCGCCACCGCGCGTGCGCACACAGGGCCCGCCGCGGCGCGGCAGGACTTGCGCTCCTGCCCGGCTGGCTCGGCAGCGATGCTCAGCCCTCGGCCTCCTGAACGGCCGGGCCGTGCCGAGACGCGCGTGGCGGGGTCCACGTGGGCCTGGGAGTTTGGGGCCGTCGCTGCGCGCTCCCGGGCGTGTGCCGCAGGCGGGCGCGGGCATTGGGGGGGGTCCGGCGCCCAGGGTGACGCGGCGCTGTGCGCATGCGCAGGTGGGATGCAGGCGCTCGGGCTGCACCTGACCGACCCGAGCCAGCGCCTGGTGCAGAACTGCCTGTGGACGCTGCGCAACCTGTCGGACGCCGCCACCAAGCAGGTGAGCCCGACCGGCCCGCCCCGGCCCTCCCCCGACACCCCCGCCCCCGCGGGGCGCATGCGCTGAGCGCCCTGCCCTGCCCTCGCCGCCCGCCGCAGGAGGGCATGGAGGGGCTGCTGGGGACGCTGGTGCAGCTGCTGGGCTCGGACGACATCAACGTGGTGACGTGCGCGGCGGGCATCCTGTCCAACCTGACGTGCAACAACTACAAGAACAAGATGATGGTGTGCCAGGTGGGCGGCATCGAGGCGCTGGTGCGCACGGTGCTGCGCGCGGGCGACCGCGAGGACATCACGGAGCCCGCCATCTGCGCGCTGCGCCACCTCACCAGCCGCCACCAGGAGGCCGAGATGGCGCAGAATGCCGTGCGCCTGCACTACGGGCTGCCCGTGGTGGTGAAGCTGCTGCACCCGCCCTCGCACTGGCCGCTCATCAAGGTGCGGGGCGTGCGGGCCTGGGGTGGGGGGGACGGGACGCGGCCGCGCGCACCCCGGGGGGGGGAAGGCGTGGGCCGCAGCGCCTCTTCCGCCCCTTCCTCGCCCGCAGGCGACGGTGGGTTTGATCCGCAACCTCGCCCTGTGCCCCGCCAACCACGCGCCGCTGCGTGAGCAGGGCGCCATCCCGCGCCTCGTGCAGCTGCTCGTGCGCGCGCACCAGGACACGCAGCGCCGCACGTCCATGGGCGGCACGCAGCAGCAGTTCGTGGTAGGTGACGGAGGGCCGCGGGAGAGGGGCGCGGGACGGGGGGCGCGGGACGGGGGCGGCCCCCAGGGGGAGGCGGCTCGCGGGAAAGGCGCGTGTCGCTGCGCAGGAGGGCGTGCGCATGGAGGAGATCGTGGAGGGCTGCACCGGGGCGCTGCACATCCTGGCGCGGGACGTCCACAACCGCATCGTCATCCGCGGCCTCAACACCATCCCGCTGTTCGTGCAGGTACGCATGCGCGCGTGGGGTCACCAGCACGGGCGCCCGCGGGCGCGGGCCATGCCCTGCGGGGACGTGAGGGGACGTGAGGGTCGGGGTTCATAGGCAGCCGGGGCGGGGCTCCGATATCGAAGGTGCAGCGCGGGCCGCCTGCAGCTGCGGGCCGCACCCCGGTCACGCACGCGCGCCGCCCGCAGCTGCTGTACTCGCCCATCGAGAACATTCAGCGCGTGGCGGCGGGCGTGCTGTGCGAGCTGGCGCAGGACAAGGAGGCGGCCGACGCCATCGAGGCCGAGGGCGCCACCGCGCCGCTCACGGAGCTGCTGCACTCGCGGAACGAGGGCGTGGGTGAGTGCGGGGGGCCGGGCGGGGTGAGCGTGAGCGCGCGGGGGGCGGGGGTGGGTGAGCGGGGGGGTGAGCGCGCGGGGGGGGGGTCGGCATTGGGAGGGACGGGGGGGGGGGCGGCGGAGCGCGCGGCCGTGCAGCTGTGCCGTGTGTGGGTCGCAGCGACGTACGCGGCGGCCGTGCTGTTCCGCATGTCGGAGGACAAGCCGCAGGACTACAAGAAGCGGCTGTCGGTGGAGCTCACCAGCTCGCTCTTCCGCACCGAGCCCATGGCCTGGAGCGAGGTGAGCAACGGTACCCCGACCCCTGAACCCCGACCCCTGAACCCCGCCCATCCGACACCACGGCGGGCAGCGGGCGGCGCGGGCCCCGCGCGTGCGCCCCGCTGACCCCGACCCCCTCCCCCAGACCGCGGACCTCGGCCTGGACATCAGCGCCCAGGGGGAGCCGCTGGGATACCGGCAGGACGGTGCGTGCGCCCCCAACCCCCCCCCCCCGCATGACCCCGCCCCGCGCGCTCCCCTCCCCGCGTGTTCCCCGCCCCGCGTGCTCCCCGCCACGCGCGCTCCCCGCCACGCATACCCCCCCCGCCCCGCGCGCTCCCCGCCCCGCGCTGAGCACCCCCCCCCCCCCCCCCCCCGCAGACCCCAGCTACCGGCCGTTCCACGCGGGCGGCTACGCGCAGGACGCGCTGGGCATGGACCCCATGATGGAGCACGAGATGGGCGGCCACCACCCCGCCGCCGACTACCCGGTGGACGGGCTGCCCGACCTGGGCCACGCGCAGGACCTCATGGACGGGCTGCCGCCGGGCGACAGCAACCAGCTCGCCTGGTTCGACACCGACCTGTGACGGCGCTGCCGGTGAGCGGGGCGCGGGGGACGCGCGGGGGGGCACGCGGGGCGCGGGGGGGACACGCGGGGCGCGGGGGGGGGGGGGGTCGCTCCGGGCCGCTGACGGCGCGCCGCGCGTCTCCCCGCGCAGGCCGCATCCGGGCAACACCGCGGCCGGACGCTCGAGCGGCGCCTGCGCGGTCGGCGGCGGCCGTGGACGTGGACGTGGCCTCGGGAGCCGGAGCGGCAGCGGCCGAGGAGAGCGCGCGCGGGGCTCATTCAGAAAGTGCCTGACACGAACCTCACGGCGGCGCGGGCGGGGCGGGGCGGGCGCGGCGGGGAGGGGGAGGGGGAGGGCCCGCCCGCCCCGCCCCCGCGCCCTCCCCCGTCCCCCCCGCCCCCGCTTGCTGCCCGGCCCCGCCCCTCCGCAGTGACCTAGTTGGAGTCTCGTAGTTCTTCTGTCGTAGTGACCCCGCGGCCGGCCCAGAGCGCGGCGACGCGGCACGCAGCGTGGTGACGCACGCACGGACGCGCGCCCGCCCCCCGCGGCCGCGCCGCCTTGTACAGAGTAGACGGTAGACGCGCCGCCCGCTTCCCTTTTTATACGCTCGGACGAGCGGCCGACGGCCGGACGGACGGGCGCGCGCGGGCTCGGGCCAGCACCGGCTGCCTCTCACCCCAACGCTGTCCCCGCTGTGCGAGCCCGCGGCCGCGGGAGGCGCCGACCCCAATAAACGTGCGAGTCCTCCCCGCCTCGCCTCGCCTCTGTTCCCGCCCTGCGCCCCGAGCCCGCCAATGACGCGAGGCCAGGCCCGCAGCCGGCCAATGAGAGCGCGCCCCGCCCCCTGCAGCCGGCCAACGGGGGAAGAGCCGGCCAGGCAGGACCAGATGGCCCGGCCCAACAGGGGCCCCGAGGGGCCACACGGTGCGGGAAGGTTCCAGCAGCTCTCCTGCTGGGCAAGCCCGTGTCGGGGGAGCAGCGGGGAGAGACGGGCCGAGGCCGGCGAGGGTTCAGGAGGTTTTATTTGGGGGTGGAGGCGCCGGCCGCCTGCAGCACCTCGAGCGCCAGCGAGGCCGCTGCCGAGTCCGCGGGGGCCCTGCGGGAGGGGCGCCGTCAGCGGGGCCGCCACAGCTCAGAACCGGCCCGGGCCCCCCCCCCCCCCGGGCTCTGCCGCCACCCACCCCGTCCCCCCCCCCCCCCACGGCCGCCCCGCGCACCCCTCCGCCCCGGCCAGCCGGCCCAGGGCCTGCAGCAGGCCGCCCGCGCCCCGGACGCTGGCCGCGTGCTTCTCATTGGAGGTCACCTGCAAAGCACGAGGGCCGGGGGTCAGGTCAGGGCCACCCCCCCCCCCCCCCCCGCTCTGGGGAGGCTGCCGCCCCGAGGATCGGGCTGTGAGGCCCCAGGCCCATCTCAACGCGCGGTGTGAGAGCCCGCCTTGACGGCTACAAAGATGAGCGCGGACTCCACGAGCGGCGACAGCCAATGCCTCCCCCTCCCCACCACCCGCCCCGCCTCCACCCCTCCACATCCCTCCTGCACCCCGACCCGCCCGCCGCCATCCACGCGTCCGTCCCCCCTGGCGCGCGGGCCCGCGTGACACACGGTCCGCTCTGCAGGGTGCTGCCCGCGCCCCCCGCGGCTCACCATCCTGCGGAGGGTCCTCAGCAGCAGCTTCTGCTCCCGGGGCTCGCGCCTGGCGGTCAGCACGGCCGCCCAGCTGTCGAGGTGCTCGGGGGTCAGGCTGGCCGGCTGCGCCCCGCCGTACAGCTGCGCCAGCACCGACAGGCAGCGCGCCGCCGCGGCGAACACCTCGGGGTCCCCGCTGGGGAGCTGGGGGAGAGGGGCCGAGGGCACCGAATAGAAATGGGGGGTTGCATCCCGAGGATCGCGGTTCCAAGCCCGTGAACCACCAGCAAACCCGAAGCAGCGCTGAGGCTCAAGGGGTAGAGCGCCCGCCTGCGGCTGGAGAGCTGAGCGCCAGCGGGAGCCCCCGAGTTCAAGACAGGGCCGCAGCAAGAGTAGAAGCAGGTTTAAAACAGATGGCCATCTATAAACGCCCCCTGCACCAAGAAATCCATCCCCCCAGAAACGCAGCACCGACCAAATAAACGCACAAGACACGCCCTCCCGCCCCGACGCTGCCACGGAGCGTTGGCGAAGCCCAAGGCTCTGCTGGGAGATGTGCCCCTGGGGTTCCGGGGCCGGCTACGGTTTGGGGGTGCCCCGGCCGAGCTTACCAGCAGGATGAGGTGGCTGGTGAGGCCCGTGAGCGGCTTGCTGTGGACCAGAAGGTTCTCTGCGGCCTGCGTGGCCCCTCCAGAGCCTGACTTCTGGGCCTACAACACGTGGGAGACACATTTCATCTCTTGGGCTGGGGCTGGTGCTTGAACTCGGGGCCTGGGCATTGTTAACGGAGCCTCTTTGTGCTCAAGGCTGGTGCTCTACCACTTAAGCCACACCGTGACACTTGTGGTTTTTTGGTGGTTCCTTGGGACAGTCTTCTGGACGTTCCTGCCCGGGCTGGCTTTGAGCCGCCGTCCGCAGATCTCAGCCTCTGGGAGGTGGGATGGGCGAGCTCCGAGCACCCACCTGGAGCGCCTGGCGGACCACCCCGGACGCGTGCGTCAGCATGGCCTGCAGGATGTCCAACAGGGAGCAGAGCAGCGCCGTGGCCATCTCGTTGTTGCTTTTGCTCATCCCGTCCAGGTAGAGCGTGGCCGTGTGCGTGAACAGGCCACACACGCGGCTCACCAGCCCTGGGCGGTGGGGACGGAAACAGTCATAAATGACATGCCCAGAGACTCGGGAGGCTGAGATCGGGAGGATCGTGGTTCAAAGCCAGCCGAGGAAACCTAACGTACACTTGGCAAGCAAGCCGGAAAACCCAAGTGAACGTGAGAGATCCTGAGTTCAAGCCCAGCACTAGCACAAGGGAGGAGAGGAAGAGAGGGAGAAAAGGGGGGGAGGGAGGGGAGGGTCCCCAGCCTCTCCCAACACAGCTCCTGTGTTTTCTGTCAGTCCTGGGGTCTGAACTCTGGGCCTGGGCGCTGTCCCTCAGCTCTTCAGCTCAAGGCGGGCGCTCTACCACGTGAGCCACTTCCGGCTTTCTGGTGCTTCTTGGAGATCAGAGTCTCTCGGACTTTCCTGCTGGGGCTGGCTTTGAACTGTGATCCTCAGATCTCAGCTCCTGTAGTGACCATCATTACAGGCCTGAGCCTCTGGGACCCAGCGTGACAGTAATCCTAACACAGCTCTCACGGGGAGCCACGACACCCACCCAAGCCCTAGACCGGACTCGCTGAGTGACAGGGATGGCCATTCCCCGCCTCCGCCACGGGAGGGCGCCCCAGGCCCAGGACTCGCTGAGTGACAGGGATGGCCGTTCCCCGCCTCCGCCACGGGAGGGCGCCCCAGGCCCAGGCTGTCACGGTGCCAGGGCTTGTACATCCTCACGACTGCACCACAAACATGCCGCGCTTTCACGCTGTCACCGCAAGGGGGAGACCCAACTACAGGCTCGATTTGAGCGCCCTCTGCGCTGGGGCTGGGGCTCGAACTCTCGACCTGGGCGCTGTTCTGAGCTCTTTATTTTTGGGGGTGTGGGGGGGGGGGGTCAAGCCTGCTGCTCTCTCACGTGCGCCACAGCTCCATTCGCAGCTTTTGGATCAAAAATGGGAGTGCTGGATCATTGCTCCATGGGGTCTCATTTAGCACGCACGCACGCGCGCACACACACGCGCACGCACACACGCGCACGCACGCACACACGCGCACGCACGCACGCGCACGCACACACACGCGCACGCACACATGCACACGCATGCACGCACGCGCGGGCGCGCCACGGAGCCCGCGCTGCGGGCCGCCCTCACCGTGCTCGTACAGCAGGCTCATGGTGGAGTCCCGGCTGGCCACTAGGTTGCTGAGCAGCGCCACGACGCTCTGCGAGCTGCTGCCCGCCGCGCCCTCCCGCGGCTCCTGCAACACACGCGCCCGCGTCACCGCCGCGGGGAGCGCACGCCGTGCGTGCGTGCGTGCGTGCGTGCCCACCTGGGGCTTGAGCTCAGGGCCGGGGCCCTTGGTGGCTCACGGCTGGCGCTCTTCCGTGTGGAGCGCCCTTAGCGACCGCCCTCGGCCCGGCTGTGGGGGGAGAGCGCGAGCCCCCAGATGGACGCCCGGGCCCGCGCATGCGCGCGGCGGCCCGGCGCCCCGGAGGCCGAGCCGGGGGGATCGCGGCGCGAGGCCGGCCACGCTGGGAAGCCTGGGGCGCTGCGTCCCGAGGAAGCGGCCGAAAGCCCGAAGTGGAGCTGCGGCTCACGGGGTGCAGCGCCGGCCCGGAGAGGCGGCGGCTACGGGACGGTGGGCGCCCGGGCCCTGGGTTCAAGTCCCAATCCCAGTGCGGCCGCCTCCCCCAACCCAGCACCGCCCACCCGGGCCCGGCCGCTGGGAGGAGCGGCGCCCGCTCACCGGGATGAGGTCGAGGACGAGCGGCGGCAGCCTGCTCCGCGCCACCAGCCTGCGGGAACAACCCGCCAGCGTGAGCCGAGGCCTGAGCCCGGGGCCTGGGCGCTGTCCCTCAGCTCTTCAGCTCAAGGCTAGCACTCTACCACTTGAGTCACAGCGCCACTTCCGGCTTTTTTCTTTTTGCTTATGTGGTGCTGAGGAATCGAACCCGGGGCCTCAGGCATGCAAGGCCAGCGCTCTACCCCTGAGCCTCCCGCCCAGGCCTGTGCGATCAGCTCCGTGGCGCGTGGCGCTGCCGCGTGCGTCGCTGTGGGTGCGGGTGGCTCAGCCCGCCATCCCAGCGACCCCGGAGGCTGAGGCCTGAGGATCGCGGTTGGAGGCCAGCCCGGGCAGCAGCAAAGTTGGTGAGAGTCTCATCTCCAGTGAACCGCCGGAAAGCCCAGCAGTCACGCCGTGGCTCAAGCAGCTCAGGGGCAGCGCCCAGGCCGAGTTCAAAAAAAACCACCATCACCTTGCACGGGGTGCGCGGCTCGAGCGGCAGAGCGCCCGCCCAGAAAGCCCAGTTTCAGAGTTCAAATCGCAGGGGCGCCAGGGAACGCACCCACAACCCGGACGCCCCCCGGAGGTGGGGAGGGCCGCGGCGCGTGGCACCTGGTCAGGGTGGCGTTCTGCTCCGTCATGGCCACGAGGAGCTTCAGCGCGTACGCAGGGGCAGGGCCGGACTCCGTGAGGACCTGCGCGAACCTACAGCGACGCACACACCCGTGAGGAACCGTCCCACCGCCGCCCCCGCCGCGCTCCCGCCCGTCATCCTCGCGACTCAGGAGGCGGAGACCGGAGGACCGCGATTGGAGGCCAGA